GTGTGTGTGTGTGTGTGTGTGTGTGTGTGTGTGTGTGTGTGTGTGTGTGTGTGTGTGTGTGTGTGTGTGAGCGTGAAATGACGAGTAAGAGGTGACAATTACGAGCATGTCAAAGCAGTGGCAGCGCGAGCGACAATCGCACGGCACTGGCGAATTGCATGCACTGTGGCCTCACCTGCCCCGCTGTGTCTTGAGCGAGGCTGAACGTCTCACCAGCACCAATATGCACAATCTGCAAACGAGAGGACAGCGTGGCAGGTACCGTGAGTGAACGTGGGGGGGGGGGTGAGGACGCCATGAATCTTGATGTCGCACGCTTTCGCAGCACATGGGCAGCACATACACGCAGAAGCATCAGTAGTCCAACACACAGCACACACACACACACACACACACACACACACAGCACCTGTGGCAGGGTGTCGATGACGTGCGGTGTCGTCTCATCGTCGTATGCGCCGCGACCGAGAACACCGCAGTCGCCCAATCCCATCGCCGCCACGCGCCCGTCATCACTCAGCAGCAGCACGTGGTGCAGCGAGATGCGCACCTGTACACATCGCAGCACGCCAGTTGTGGTGTTTATGTGTGTGTTTGTGTGTTTGTGTGTTTGTGTGTTTGTGTGTGTGTTTGTGTGTTTGCAGTTGTGGGTGCGTGCGTGTGTGTGTAGAATGGTGTTAGCTGAGTTGGCACGCACAGATTTGCAATAGGAGCAGACACAAACACATGCACATGAGCACAGGAGCAAGCGTCACACGTAGCAACGAGCACCTTTGCGAGTGAACCAAAGTCTATGGGTAGAGGAAGGCGAATTGGCTTCAGGTGGGCAGGGTGCGGCTTTGCACTTCGTTGCCTGTTGAACACGGCACCACAACAACACAGCAACATGCAGTAATCGAGGAGAATTGGGCACGGAGAGGGTCAACAGAGGTTTGCAGTGGGCGTCAACATCGGTCATGATGGGGCGGTTTCAGACAGTGTGTACGTCCAAAAGAACACACACACACACACACACAAAAGTGCACTTGCACGAACAATCATGTACCCATGCACACCACATCGCAATCAAATCGAGTCGCGCACGGCACGGGGGGGGGGAGCGTGAGTGTGTGAACTGACTCCTTGATGGCGCGGTGATCGGTTGGGATTGGGCGGCGATCAAAGATAGAGCGACCGGAGAACACAAGAGCACCACCAACAGTCACCACCGCTGTCTGGTAGGGCCCGCACGCCACCAGCCGCACAGGGTCATCCTGCAGTGGACGAGTGGAGAAGAAGAGGGGGTTGGGGAAGGTTGTACGAGCGTAGATTGGGGTGTAGATTGGGGTGCAGATTGGGGTGTAGATTGGGGTGAACGAGGAAGCACGGCGGGAAGGGGGATTCGCGGACACGCACACGAATTAACATGCACACATGCAGCAGCAGCTCACGATTGGGATGCGGCGGAGGTCCGTCTGGCGCTTCGGGAGATCAGCGAGCATGAGCTGGCCATAGAGGCCGCAGCCACACGAATACGCAGCGCCCTAGTGACGGTGGTGGTGGTGGTGGTGGTTGAGGAGTGGAGACGGTGAGGAAGAAACAGAAAAGGAAGAAGAGCGTAATGGGAAACACCTGCGATGCACACATACACACATGCACCCATGCACACACATACACACATGCACACACACACACACACACACACACACACACAGAATCATACACATTGCCATCACAGCCTCCACTGATTGCTGATGCTTCTCCTCCCCCCCCCCTGCGCTTACGTCGGCAGCGAGGGCGACGGTGTGTGTGGCGCCGGCCGAGAGCGAGACAATGCGTCGGCGTGACATGTCGCGGATGAGGCGGGGCGAGGTGACGGTGGACACCCCGCTCATGGCAAGCTGCCCGTACGTGTTGGCACCCCAGCCCCACACGCTTGAGCCTGGCGCAGAAAAGAAGAGGGGGGGGGGAGTTGCACGTAGCGGTGAGCAAGAATGAGTGGTGAAGGGTTGGATGGGTGGATGGGTGCACGCATGGGTGGGTAGTGGAAGAACAACAGGAACAATATCATCTACACATGCAAACATACACGCGCGCTAGTGCTCACCGGCCATTGCGAGGGTGTGGAAGTGACCGCACACGACGTAATCGATGCGAGTGCTCTTGAGATCCATGACGAGCTCCGGCTGCACACGGGACGACGTGTGTCCGAGGCCAAGCTGATGCCCGACGCGGCACAATGGCGGGGAGAGGGGTCATTCAACACAGTTGTGTAAAGGAACACTTGCATGCGGCTGGTTTTATGCGCGCGCACGTGTGTGTATGTGCGTGCGTGCGTGCGTGTGATGTGTATGTGTGTATGTGTGCGCAGGTATTGCAATGTTAGAGGCGTCTCACCTGCCCCATGTCGTTATTGCCCCAGGAGAAGACGCCCTGGCTCGTGCGCACGACGGTGTGCTCGGCGCCGCACGCAACGCCAAACACCTGCGAGGGAGGAACAGGAGGAGGGGTGGTGTTGGCCGGTGACGCATCGTGGGCATGCAAGGCAGGAGAAAAAACCACACATGCATTCAGACACACACACACACACATTCACACACTTGCACACACTTGCACACACTGCACAAACAACACATGTACAAACGAACCTTTGCGCGGAACATGTGCAGGACTTCCACGCGCATCACGCTGCCTTGTCCGGCCTCCTGTTGAGGGTACACACACACACACACAGATACACACACACAGATACATACAAGCAGAGGCGTAGCATGTGAGCAGAAGTAAAGCCACATCACCAGATACAGCGGTGCACAGACAAGTGCATGGACCCATGTGTACATTTCAATGCAAGCAGCACTGCAGTGGCAGCAGTCGCACCTCGACAATTGCGCCCTGGCCAAGTCGACCACCGAGCGCTTTCCCCCACGTGTAGAGATCATCTGAAGGGTCAACGCAGCGACAGACATTGAGTGCATATGTTGGATTGGAAAAGCACAGCCAGCTTTAACCCGAAGAACAAAACAACAACAACAACAACCGCGAGTGCATGCATCGCATTGCATGCACTCGTCCATGCTTCTTCCATCCATTCCACCAAAAGATGCGTCGTACCGCCAACAACGGCTGCCGAGTGCTGAATTCCGCAGTCGAATTTCCCGTCGTCAGGGTGTCGCGTCGACACAAGCAGCTCTACACGTGGAGATGATGATGGTGGTGGTGGTGATGATGGTGATGGTGATGATGATGGTGATGATGATGATGGTGGTGGTGGTGATAATGATGGTGATGATGGTGGTGGTGATGATGATGGTGATGATGGTGGCTCATGAAGACATGTGCATGCATGGGTGGTCACACGTGAGGGATACATGTCCAATGACTGCGAAATGCACTGCAGGCACCAGCAGCCCCAAGTGCGCCCTCACCGCTCTCGTCCGTGTGTGTGATATTGACGAGTGCTGGGTCGATGTTGAGCAGGGCGTCTGGTTTGCCCGACAACAGATCAAACCACGTCTGCACACGTGCCATCCACGGCACACACCGCTCAAGCGACTCGCGCCCGTCAGCCTGGAGATAATAGTAATGGTGAGCAGTGGCGAGAGAGCATTGGAAGCGGCGAACGACGCACAAACGAACACGTTCACACCCAGGCATACACCCACCTACACACTTGCACACCTCACCTACACACTTGCACATCTCGCCACATATTCACAGGTATGCACACCCATCGTCAGTGCTCGTGACGCCAGCACATTTTTGCTTTGCCTCACCTTGTTGAGGCGCATGCGGTTGTATGCAAAGAGGAGCTTCAAGTACGCGTGGACAATCTTGCGGTCCCTGTGGCGCCTATCTGTTGTCCCCGTCAGCGTTCCAAACGCGCCCTCCATCAAGTCTGGCGATGATGTGTCGCGATCGTAGGCGCCGTCGCTGCTGGCAAAGACAACCCCGACCCCGCCCCCTATCATGCTGCTGTTGGTGCTGGAGGGGGTGGTGTGTGCACCGGTGCTGAGTGCGTCCGTGCTGCTGCGTGGTGTTGGCGCTCCAAACTGCGGCGCAGCCAGCCGCCGGCCCCTTGGAGGCGATTGGTGGTGGTAATTGGTGATTGTGAAGGTGGTGGTAATGATTGGTGAAGGAGAAAGCGGTGGTAATGATGGTTGAAGGGGAATTCGTGACAATGACACATGCCAACGAGGAATGGCGTTGACACATGAGCACACGTGCACGCACGATCACATGCAAACGCAGGCCCGCGCTTGCACCCTCCTCTCCCTTGCACCGAGCTTCATCTCACCTCTCGAGGATGTATCTGACAGCTGGTCGGGTTGGGTTGAGAAACTGCAGCAGTTTCAGGCACTGCTCCTCAGACAACACAGGCAGGATGTGGCTGTCGCGCGTGTTTGCGCGTGTGATTGGGTGTGTGTATGTGTGTATGTATGTGTGTGCGCGTGTGTTGTTGCGTGTGATTGTGTGTGTGTGTTGAGTGTTGAGCATCATGAAACTATGCTTCACGCACACATACACGCGCACGCATACACACGTACACACACTCACGCACACACATACACACAGCGATAACGCGTGAAAGACGTACTCGACGGCGTCTGCAACGGTGTGGACGTGTGTGGACCGGCTGAGCAGAACAGTGATGAGCTGATCAGGCGACATGCACCGCAGCAGGATGCCCTGGCGTCGCAGTGGTGGTGATTGATAGGGGAGTGGTGTCAGTGATTGAGTCAACATTGTGGGTCGATGCCATGAACACTCGCCATTGCACAACCTGAGACCGCACAAGTGCACACACACACACACATACACATACACACATGTACATGTACTGCGGCACCTTTGAGTATCTGCAGATGAGGTCGCTGTAATCGCGGGCGAGGAGAAAGTCGATGGCTTCGGAGGAGAGCTTGAGCACATCCCGGTTCACGGGCATTGCAAGCGCAATGTTGACCTGCACACGCACACACACACACACACACATTTCGATGTTGTTCGTGTTGGTGATGATCATATGGACCACTGGTGTGTGAGTAAATGAGCAGTGTGTGCGTGTACTTGCACAACACATGACAGCAGACGACATCTACCACACAGCTTCTAAAGCACCAACAGCACGTCATTGTAATGTGTGCTCGTTCACTGTTAGCCCCCCTCGCTCTGTATGCTCCGCTCGCCTACAAGGTCACCTTGCTGCGTGCGTGCGCTGCTTGGAAGAACTCAAGCAACATGCCGTGTTGCAGAAAGCCTGCCACATACCACGACAACAGCCGAAGTAGCGACGATATCAGGTGGTGAGTAGGTGACACGAGGAGACACAGAAACATGTGGTAAACCAAGCAGCTGATCACAAGGAGGGTAGCGGACGCACTCATCAGCAACAACGCAGTCAGAGTGTTACTGTGACGCCCTCTCCCGAGCGATCGAGGTTTGTTTCTTTTGCTTGCATGCAAGCATTGCATCATTGTGCGTACTTGAGAGGGCTGTGCGAAAGTCGTAGTCCCAATTGTCGGAGATGAATGCCTGCAGGCTCTCGTCAATATCGCGAGCAGTCAACACCTGGCGAAGAGGATCATGACATGGGTGAGAGAGAAGAAGGGGGTGGGGTTGAAGTTGCACAGGGATGGTGACAAGTCCGACAACTACAGCTATAATCACGGCACATGAATAGTGTCTCTCGCTCGCATGTGAAAACACACACACACACGCACACACACACACACACACACTCACTCACATACACACCCCTCACACACACACACACACACACTCTCTCTCTCTCTCACATACACACACATACACATACACACACACACACACACTCTCTCTCTCTCACATACACTCACACACACACACACATGCACGTACGCGATCAAGGCTGCCGACGCCGACGACCTGGTCCTCGTGGTGGTCTGGGAACGTGAGCGAGGATGAGCGCGTTGTGCGCGTCAATTCCATGGCGCTGCCCGTGCTGCTGCCCAAGCTCTGCGACAGCATCTTTTGTAGTGATGCCGGTGGGGTGGGCCTACGAGAGGAGGGATGGTGGCGCGGAGATTGTGTGAAAGGGGTGTTCTACATGCATTGTACACATGACAATCACACACACGCACACAGATAGATACACACACACACACACACACACAGACACACGCTCACACACGCACACACACACACACACACCACTCACAAAACAAACAAACAAACAAACAAACAGCAGCAGCAACGCACGCGCGGCGTGGTGTTCCGGGCGCGGGCGGGAGCGTTGCGATTGGCTCGGGCTCGTCGGGGAGGGTGAGCCGAAGGTGGATGTACGTGAGCAGCATCAGGCCGGCGAGCCGCTTTCGCAGCGGTCCTGACAGAGACGACTGGTTTGCAAGCTGCTGGCGCAGTGACTGCGCAACGAGGGACATTTGTCCTGAAAGTGTGATGGCGATGGTGGTGATAGTGGTGGGTCATGAGAAACGTGGGTGGGAGGAATCGGCAAACGGTAACGGAGCGTGGCTGGCTTAAGGCACTACTCCCTGCCAGTTGCGAATCGCATCAACATCACACCGACCACCAACAGGAACCACCAAACGCAAGCACGCTGTGACATGAACACACCTGCGCGGGCAAACTTGGCAATGAGGTCAAGTTCATCTGTGGACGTACGCACGAAATGGTAGAAACTCTCTTTGTACGCGCCCTGATGGAGGCATGTGTTCCAAATGTGCACATGCGTGGACGGCAGACGTGATGAAGCAGCAGACATGTCGTGACAGCAAGACAGTAAGGGAGGGACACAACCGTGAGCTGGGCACACAGACAGCTGGCATTTCTTCACACACACCCCCACACACACCAACACACCGACACACCGACACACCGACACACACACACACACACATGCGCGCATGGACACCACCGCAACATAATCACGCCGAGCAAAGCATGCGCATGTGTGCACCTGACTGAAGAGCTCAACAGCGCGGAGGCGGTAGACTTCAGAGAGATCAACGCGCATCGTGGCAGCAAGCACGTCCGGGTCACGTCGGGCACGCAGCAGCTGCAGGCAGTGGTGGGCAGGTGCAACACGCTGCACACACTCGTACACGCCCTGACGGATGCATGGAGATGGACAGTGACATGGAGGGTGAGGGTGTGGCACAATGTGCGCAGCGTGGCTCGTTTGAATGCCAACGACAAGTACAGGGGGAACCACACCGCGAGCACACACACGCACACACACACACACGCACACACACACACACACACACACACACACACACACACGCACAGACAGACAGACGCACAGACGCACAGACACACACCTGTGTGGTGATGAGGAGGCAGCCTGCGTCGACGGTGTTGTGCTGCAGCGGCAGCAGCGACAACACGTCTTCGTGTGGAGACAGCTCAAACGCTTGCACAACAAAGTCAGAGGAACGCTGGGTAGGAGGAACAAACACAGAACAGCATGGCGTGATGGTAAGTAAAGATAAAAGCAACACAAAGCCAACGACGTCACAAGTTTTCACACACACACACACACAAGCAAACACACACAGGCAAACAAGCAAACACACACACGTACACAGACACAGGCAGCCAATGACTCAACCAAGCAAAACGCCAGCAAAACGCATAGATGCTCACGCTGTCCTGAGATGCAGCGGTGCAGAGGAGGTTGCTGCAGATGACAAGGCGTGGGCGCTCGCCCTTGTGTCGGGTGAGGGCAAACGTAATGTTGTCTGTGGCCGCGAGCGCGACCGTGTTCTCAGGCAGGCGGTACGTGTTGAGCGCTTTGCTCTGGCCGTCGCCCGCAAACACATGCGCAGCCGTCGCACTGTGCAGGCAGACGAGAGGAAACGAGCGCTGTGTCTGCACAGCTGCTGGTGGCGATGATGTGGCGGCTGCAAAAGCAACTGGCGGCTGGCGAAGGTCCATGTCGAGAAGCGACACAGCCGGCGCAGCGTGTGCGCCTCCGCCCTGGCTCTGTCGCTCCTCCGCTGTTGGTTCGCGCTGTATCGTGCACGCGTACACGTGGTTGCCGGCCTGCGCGACGACGGTGTGTGTCCACGGCGCCTGGACCTGCACTGCAAGGTGCTGGATTGGCGTGCGCCCACGAACGGTGAGCGAGTGCATCACCTTCTGCTGCAGCAGGTCAACAAAGTGCAGCTGCCCGGCCTTCGTCCCCACGATGATGGTGGGGCGACCCGTGTGCGGCGTCCACCACTCGCACCGCGTCGCTTGGTGCTTCAGCTGGCGGTATGTGCCGAGCAACGTCAGGTCAAGCGTGCTTGCAGGCAAATCGAGGTTGTTCAACTGCAGAGGCACCGCAGACGAGGATGCACTTGCTGTTGCTGTGGTTGGCGTTGTTGGGACTGTGGATCCTGTCCTCTCCCGCACAAAGGTGCGAACAGATGCAAAGGCGGATACAGCAGAGCTGGTGGCAGACCGCTTGCGTCCGTCTTCATCCTGCTGCCGCTGCTGCTGCTGCTGTTGCATCTGCTGCGGTGGCTGCTGTTGGCTCAGCAGGAACGTGGTGTTGTTGTTGGTGGACTGGCGGGAGACGGGGCGAGACACGCCGCCCGCAGAACGAGCAGCAAGCTGAGGCGACGACGTGGACGGATACCGCGATCTCCCCGTCCCAGATGCAGCCAGCACGGGGAGAACAGGGATGGCAAACACTTGGCCGGCCTGCGTGACGGCGATGCAGAAGTGGCCGCGCGGGCTTACGCACAAGGACTTGATGCGCTCGTCCTTGGTGCTGAACCACAGCACAACGCGCACGGCTGGCGCCCGGCCGTTGTCCCGCACCACAAGCAGCAGATACTCGTTTGAGGTGTAGGCAACAACGACGGTGCGCTCGGCGGTGGTGCGAGAGGCGCACAGCTCGATGCCGTATTGCTCCTGCATGCCCGGTCCCAGCCCGAGGCCTGCGAACGCAAGGCCAAGCGCACCACCAAGGCCGCCCCCGCCGAGATGGGTGCTGGAACGACGGCCGGGTGACGCTGGCGTGTGCTTTCCCGTGGAGGCTGCAGAGGATGTGGAGTGTCCAACCGTGCTGGACAGCCCTGAGGCCGACGACGACTTCAGCCGGCTGCGCCGCCGCTGCAAGCTGATGTCAAACGCATGCTTCGCCCGCTGCAGCCTCGTTGGCTCCTGTGAAGCCGCCGCAACTGCCGCCGCCGTTGTGGAGGAAGGAGCAAATGAGGGCGTACCCGATGCCACTACTGTTGGTGTCCCTCTGCCATCGAGCGAGGCCACGTTGATGTTGTGCGGCAGCGATGGTGGTGGGTCTGGAGGAAACTCTGGAGCAACCCGCACCAGCCTTTCCATGCGATACAAGCCCTCCATCCTTCTGACGGGAAATGCCGTGCAAGGGATCGAAGCTTGTAGGAAAAGAGAGAGGAGAGAGAGATGGGGGCAGAGGGGGGCAGAGGGGGGGGGGGGTTGCTGTTGCAGTTGTGACTCGAGGAAGAGTTGTGGATGTGTGTCTTGATGTGACCACTCCAGCACTCGCTCAGGGCAGTGGTTGGCTTTTGTTGTTGTGCTCTTGTGCTGCGGAGCGAGAGGTAGTGAAATGTGGTTGATGATTTCCGTCAATAATCCATGAGCAACGGCCAAGAGGAAATTCGGCCAGCAAGCGAGTGGTGAGTGCTTGACAGTTGGTTGGTTGGTGCTCCTTGTTGTTGACACACCAACCGCACCCATCTGTCTCTCTCTCCCTGCGACTCTCGTTGTGTTGGGTGTGTGGCTTGCTTGACAGTGTGTTTCACTTTGTGTGTGTGCATGTGTTAACTGCTGATAGTGTGTGAGGTGTGTCAGTGAGTGAGACGAGCGTTGGTTTCTTTTTTCTTTTTTTTTTGAGTGAGTGAGTGACGCTGCTTCCAGTGGCTGCATGGTGTTGTTTGTTCGTTATTGAGATTGTGGGGTTGAGTGGTCCCAATCGCTAGCACAGCAAGACGACGTGGATGGCTTCATGCAAACCACGGCTGCTCCCCTCATGCACAATCGTCCTCACGCGCGCGCACTCTCACGCACACTCCCTTTACCAACCACCATACAGGCTGGATTCCAAGGCTCAACGGACACGCAGCAAAGACCACAACAGTGCCCAACCACCACACACACACACACACACACACACACACACACACACACACACACACACACACACACACACACACACACACACACACACAC